GAAAGGGGAGAGCAAGATCACTTGCTCCCAACATTATTGTTGTTGTTGCTGCTGCTGTTATTACTATTGTTATTATTATTATTGTTATTACCATTATCATTGCTACTATTATTATTACCATCATCATCATCAACAACAACAACAACGTTATTATTATCACTATCATCATCATCATCATCATCATCATCATTTACTGCACCGTTTCAAATATTATACCACCCTCCCTACATTAAATTTCTTTTTTCTTCTTAAACAATACTTTACAAATGCATTTCCTGGTGAAATGCCAAGAAACAAGGAAATAAAAAAAAACTTTACCGATGACATTCAGTGCTCGGTCCGGAATTTCGCAACTTGCTGCGGCCATCAACGGTGTAATATTTAATGCATCGAGAGCAGACGGATCTGCGCCACTGTCCAGAAGCACACGGACTACTTTCGTGTAACCCTGCTTTGAGGCATGATGGAGCGCTGTACGCCCATAAATATCGGTAGCCTTTGAGTATTCTGGATTCAGTTGCAGCAGAAACTAAATTGAAGTTCTTTTAATCATTGTTGTTGTTACTGTTCTTGTTTTTGTTATTGTTTGATCATTCAGCTACGCTCTACATACTTGATCTTTTTGTTTGGATTAGTAAGAGTTTTTCCCGCTATGCATCTTCTTCATTGTCTTGGTAAGTAGATGTTACAAAGCCAAGTAACAAGGGCATCTATCTCAATGTTTATACATTCTCTCAGAAAACTAGCTCAGCTGGGGTAACCGATGTCAGCAGGGGGTGACCGTCAGACGATGCAGCATTGGTCGAAATAATCGGGGAGAAAGCAGAAGCAAAAAACGATATAAAATAAAATTACCTGACACGATTCAACTTGACCACAAGATGCCGCTAAGATGAGAGCTAAGCTCCTATCGGTATTTTTATTAGCTTCATGAAGGACATGCAGGATGGAATCGTGACCCTCAACAGCAGCCCAGTCAAATGCTGTCAGACCAATCGAATCAGCTGTTTCCTTCACACCATTTTCTAGCAGAAGATTCACTGTTGCCGAATCACCTGCAAAATGCTATTACAACTGAGCCTCAGAACTCATTTGAGCCAATATTTGTTTCAAAAAATAGCCAATAAAATCTACTGAAACAGAGAGTGCAAAACTACTAGATCTCAGCGTCGAGACTTAATGGATCGAAACGTCTTAGCTCATTCTTACCTTATTTTCTCATACTGTTCTTTCATGCTGTAATACATCGCGCTTTCGCCATTTACAGTTCCAAGGTCAACCTGGTTGCTACAGTCGGCTTTCTAGTGGAAATCTGGATAACCCTACGCCCAAATTCCATGGTTCTAAAACCCTGCCGAGAGGCTATATGGAAGCGGGTCTTGGGGCAAAGAAACAAATACTAATTTTAAGCTGACCCCCCGCCCCGTTCTAAAATCTTCGCTCATACGCGCCCAAATCTCACATACCGATCACCGGAAAAATAT